AGCTCGCCCTCTCGCGGCTCCCCGGCCCGGCCGCCGCCGCCCCTCTCCCCGCCCAGAGGCGCCCCGGGGGCACCATGCAGGCGCAGCAGCTGCCGTACGAGTTTTTCAGCGAGGAGAACGCACCCAAGTGGCGGGGGCTGCTGGTGCCGGCGCTGAAAAAGGTGAGGAGCGCGCGGGACCCCGCTTCCCGGCTTGCAGCCCTTGCGAGGGCGCGGGGCCGGAGCCGGGGAAGGGCTGGGGAGGCGGGGCGTGCGCAGGGCCGTCTTTCTTCCCGGTCTCGCCGCCTCCCAGAAAGGACGGCGCACACTGAGAGGTTCCCCCACACTCGCTGGCTGGGTGTTGACATTCACCCGGTGTGTGGGAAGGCCGCAGGAAGCCAGGCAGAGTTTGCCCGAATAATCCAACCTCTGAGAGGTTAACGTCCTGCCCCTGATTCAGAGACAAGAGTTGGAGGAGACTCAGTTTTCAGTGGAGGTCAAAGCAGGCCACTTTTCCGCCTTCTCGGTCTTACCCTGGAGCTGCTGTCAGCCTCCGGTTTTAGGTGTCCAGTATGCTGGTTTTAGTGGGCTCGAGAATGCTCTAGCCATAATGCTTGCTCTAAGTAATTGCAGAGCTCGCTTGCCAGCAGGAACATGGCCTGCTTTGCTCGTCCTCTGTAATCACTCTTCATTCCCCTGAATTCCCCCACTCCTCCGATTAACAGGGGCGGGTGTACATGCCACTTTTTTTCTTTTTCTTTTCTTTCTTTTTTTTTTTGCCCCCGAGCGTCTGAGAATCTTGGTACTATCTTTTGTTTTGTTGGTTTGAATTTTTAGCCTTTCCGTGTTTCTTCAAGTTTGCCACATTGTTACCTAAAGTTGCATACTCCATGATCTGTGCTTTTAAATGTTTAGTACATTTAGGAAATGTTACATTTTAAAAGCCTCTAAAGCAACATTGTGACTTCGTATGTACATGAAAACGTCAGAAACTAGTGTGTGTGAACGAACATTAAAACGGTGTTTTTTGGGGCGCCTGGTGGCTTAGTCGTTAAGCCTCTGCCTTCGGCTCAGGTCATGATCTCAGGGTCCTGGGATCGAGCCCCGCATCGGGCTTTCTGCTCAGCGGGAAGAGCCTGCTTCTCCCTCTCCCTCTGCCTGCCACT